GATTTTTACTTTGCTCAAGCTCATATTCAAATATTTGTGAACTGAACAAGTATAAGTATAAGCTGATATTGATTTTGTTGTTTTTGTTTTTGTTTTGTTTTGTTTTTGCTAGGCAATGGGGTTAAGTGACTTGCCCAGCTAGTGAATGTTATGTGTCTGAGGCTAGATTTGAACTCAGGTCCTCCTGACTCCAGGGCCGGTGCTCTATCCACTGTGCCACCTAGCTGCCCCAATAAACTGATATTGAGGATAAATGACTTCCCTGACCACTGAGCATGCTACCTTGAACTTTTTTTAAAAGAGAAAAAAAATACAATTAAGCCACATTTAGACAATCAAGAATTCCCTGTCACCTCTGACTAAGGTTTCTTAGCATATAGCTTCCTCTGACTCTATAATGTGAAATCTCCACAAGAGTCTAACCCACTTAAACTTCTCCACCATTCAATGGGTAAGGGAAAATTGTACCAAGTTGAGTTTGTGTAGACCAATCCTTAGTAAAGAGACTTCTGGCAATTGGGAGAAAACTTGCTCTTGACAGAACACATTAAAAAAATTAAATTTATTCCCTGATACTATTAATGAAATACAGGGCCCATCATGCCCAAGGCAAATAAATAATTGACACTTCCTCATCAAAAAATGATTGATATTCTCAGAATGAAATCTTCAAAGAAATATGTTTGAGTAAATGCCTTTGCACAGAACAAGAGTGAAGTTGACATGGCACTGGATTTATCAAAGGTAATAGACACTGGTTTTACTATTAGATGAAACTAATGAAATGGTTAATATCTGAAAGGAGATCTAAAAGACCCTCTATGGGCAACATCTGCATGAATTTAACCAGCTAACTCTATGTCAACTGAGTCATGAAAATTCCTCTTTAGAAAAAGATAGGGTTTATGACATTGATATAAGACTAGGTCATTGATACCAGAAATTATAGAAAGATCATCTTTAAGGTAGGGCAAATAGGTGGTGCTGTGGATAGAGCACTGGGCTTGAAATCGGGAAGAGTCATCTTCATGAGTTCAAATCTGACCTCTGACACTAACTAGCTGTGTGACCCTGGGCAAGTCACTCAATTCTGTTTGCCTCAGTTTCCTCATCTGTAAAATGAGCTGGAAAAGGAAATGGCAAACCAATCCGCTGCCTCTACCAAGAAAACCCCCAAAAAGGGTCATGAAGAGCTGGACACAACTGAAACACCCGAACAACATCTTTGGGGGGGTGCTTCACTTATTGATAGATATTTTGCAAGCAAATGGTAGAAACTGGACAACATAACACTATTGGTTGCAAAAATTTAGCACTTACCCAGTACCTCAAAAAATAGAATCAAGGGGATGGAATTATATATAAAACTAACAGATAACAGATCCCTATATTACAAATACAAACTACAAAATATCTCTGAGAAGTCAACAAATGCTGGTGTTGGAACTTAAGCATCATTTAAGATGAAACTGATGCTCATAATTGTCTAGTATGATGAGTGAAAATCTAAAAAAAAATTTTTTTTAAAGAGACATCTTCATACCAAATACTCTAAAAGTTCTAAACTACACGGAATGAAAGGCTTTCTTTTTAAAATTAATTTTAACTGAATTTTCTTTCAATTTGAAAGATTTTTAGAAATCTACCTCCTCTCTCACCTCCCTCCACCACCACCTCCCATAGAAAAAGAAAAACTCAAATGTGTATCATCAAGTAAAACAAATTTCTTTATTAGTCTTGTCCAAAAAAAAAATAAAAGACTCATGCTTTGAGTCCATCCCTTTGCTGACAGGACATGGTGAGCCTAGTACATGATTAGTCCTCTGGAATCTGGTTGATCATTGCATTGATCAGAGCTCCTAAATCTTTCAAAGCTGTTTATCTTTATAATGTACCCTGTTCCTTGCTTCTAGACTTTAAAATCCTGCCTCTCCCACTGGTTCATCCCCGATCTCCCCTCAGTGCCTGAAGCTCCTCATCCTGAACATCCATCATCCTGTGACCTTCTCAACTTTGAATATTCCTTTGTGAGCCCTGCCCCTTTTTCTCATTGGAGAGTTTGGGGCCTTCATATTGTAGAGGAGGCCAAACTGGTCATCCTTTCCCTCCCAGCCCTGTTCTTGGCTTGCAGACTTCAAAAGCAAGCTTTCTCTCCAGTGGAATCCTTCATTCCCCACCCCAACCCTCCCTTTTCATCTCCCTTTTGTATGTTAGAATTTAAGAATTACATAAGAATATAAGCTCCTTGAGGGCAGAAAATACATTTCTGCTTATATTTGTATCCCCAACACTTAGTATATAGCAAGGGCTTAATGAATGTTTCTTTCCCAAATTTTTATTCAGTTACAAAAAGGAATCATTTTATGCATCTGTACAATAGTCTGATGAACATGCAACACAAAAGAACATTAGTAGGATAGCAACTTCTCCCAGGACTGTTTCTATCTCCAACGAATATAAATTGAGAAAAATAACTTCTCACACGTGTAGCATTTTTAGGTTTGCAAAGCAATTTCTTCACAACATTCTGAAAGGTGAGTAATACAATTAAATCATCTCCATTTTACATATGAATAAAATGAGGCCCAGAGAGGTGTAGCGACTTATGGTCATACAATAAGTCAGTCTTAGATTTCCTTAAAAAATGTTTTGGTTTTTTTTTTTTAAGTTTTATGAATTTTTTTTTTTGGATCCGTCATTTCCAAATGTACCACTCTAACAAAGAAAAAGTCAAGACAACATTCAATTTATGTGCGTATGCGACATTCCACACTCCAACGAAAGGAAAAGGGTATTTTTTTTTCTGGAAGCAATCGAGGTTAAGTGACCTGCCCAGGGTCACACAGTTAGCTAGTAAGTGTCTGCAGTCAAATTTGAACTCTGGTCCTCCCAACTCCAGGGCCAGTGCAGGACTCTATCCACTGCATCACCTAGCTACCCCTAGGAAGGAGGTCTTGACTGGGTTTCACATCCAGGTCTCCAGGCTGTGTTTTTTTTTTGTTTTGTTTTGTTTTGTTTTAAGGCAATTGGGGTTAAGTGACTTGCCCAGGGTCACACAGCTAGTAAGTGTCAAGTGTTTAGTCTGAATTTGAACTCTAGTCCTCCTGACTTCAGGGCCGGTGCTCTACCCACTGTGCCAACTAGCTGCCCCTCCAGGCAGTGTTCTTTACACCACAACATGACAGCTAAAGGCTAGAGATGGAGTTCTGACCTCCTTAGGGATCAGGAAAGATTTGGAGTGCTGGGTTCAGCTAACTCTTTCATTCTCCTGCAGACAACACTTCCCCTTTTTCCGGACAGCTCCAGAGGGCTGGAAAAATACTGTTCGCCACAACCTCTGTTTTCGAGGCAGTTTCGAGAAGGCCCCAATGAGCCCAGAGAAAGGAACAGTTCCCGGCCGTCCTCGATCCTGCCGGTGGCGACTCACAGAAGAAGGGAACCGGCGCTTTGCGCAGGAGGCCAGGGCTTTGGCATCTGCTCGGCTCCAAAGTATCCAAAAGTGTATGAGTCATCCAGGTAAGATAGCGGGTGATCAAGGAGGGAGATCCTGGGCCAGGACCACAGAGAATGAATGGCCATCTGACTTGGCTCTTCAAGAGGGGTGAGGAAGGAATATGAAGGGCCCGCAGCGTACTGGCTTTGGTCTGAGCTCCTGGTGGAATGCAGGGTACTGGCCAGGAAGCCAGGAGACCTGACCCTGCCCACCAGAATGCAGTAGGACCTTGGATAAGTCACTTCTA